TTGGCATATTTGAACACAATGCACACACACTGCTTAGGAAACTACAAGGAAACAGAGAACATCTTTTCACATTTGTACATTTTCACATTTGTGACTTCCTTGTAACATCAGGAGAAAAAGAAGGTACTGAGATTCAGCAGAGTATAAAGTCAAAACCCAAACTCTATACTCATAATTTATAATGCATACATGTCCATTTTACTTTATCTGTAATTTGTTTTCTTTTCTCTGAAATGTATAAATGTTAGCTGTAAAAGACAATTTGCTAGTCAGATGCCTAAGGTGCCCTGCATGTGTGGAGCAGCAAGTATTGACTTCGCATCATTTGGGTAGTAATAGAAGGTCTCACCTTCCCCCAAGGCAGAGTAACTCTCAGATCCCAAACACGAGTTTTTACTTTCCTCCAGAGAGAGCAATACATTTTCATGAAACTGTAAATAATATCTTCACTCCAAAGAGATATATAATAAACTCTTATAAAGTGTCAAGCTAATGCTCATATATTCATAGTTTCAATATAAGCAGGACTGTGTGCATCTAAGTTTTATGATCTGGAGAATATGATTTGACCATAATTTGATTGAGTTTTTCTGTGTGTAACACAAAATATGTAGTTTATTGATTAATGAAAAAGCCATTATGGTGATGCTTACTAATGGACATTGATGAGTACAAAGGGACCTAAATGTATAGAAAGAAAAACTGAGAATAGAATTTAATATAATCATACATCTATTACTTTTAACGATATATGGACATTAAGAATTAGGAGAGATATAACACCTTGTTTCTGTTTTTTAGGAGGTCATAATCTTTCTCTCATTGTACATATTTATTTATGACTCTCTATCCATGGTCATCAGTTGAGGGCCCAGAATCTGCTAAGCTAGTGCTTCTTTTTTTCCTCAGTCTATGGTGAGAGACTCCATGTGGTTCTTTCTCCTTTTCTTCCTCCCTCGCTTCCTTCTTCCCTCCTTCCCTCCCTCTCACCACCCACTCCCTCCCTTCCTCCCTCCCTCCTCCCTCCCTCCCTCCCTCCCTCCCTCCCTCCCTCCCTCCCTTCCTTCCTTCCTTCCTTCCTTCCTTCCTTCCTTCCTTCCTTCCTTCCTTCCTTCCTTCCTAATTTTCAATTCACTGCAAACTGATACTGTTTTGAAATACCAAAAAAGAAATGACCAGAAAAATAAAATGAATAATAAATAATTTACAATTTCAAATTTTATCATTCATTTCAAAAAGGATAAAATTATGTTTAGATATAACCAGAACAAACATCACATAGGAAAAAATGGCAAATAATTTCAAGAATAATACATGTTGTTCACTGAAGTGTATGCATAATTGATTAATATATTGCTGGGCTATCAAATACAACTTTGTAAAGTGACAGAGATGTTCTCTCCCGCGGCCGTCCAGCAGAGACGCCACGAGCTACGTGTGATCGCTGAGCATGTAAACTATGACTAGTATGACGGAGGAACTAAGTTTTTAAAATTTAGTTTTAATTAATTTATTAATGTAGTTAATGTGGCTAGAAGCTAACAGAATAGAGAATCACTCTTACACGTGTAACTGTTTTGCCATTCTTCAATTCTGATCAAATACTTATGAACAAAACAGCTACTCCCCTTTTTAAATATTTATCTATACATATTTTGAATACATTCAGAATATATTGCTCTTTAAAATTATAATGGGTCAAGTGAAATGATTTATTTACTTAATCTAGGTTGGATTAATAACAATGCTATTAGTGGGAAATAACATACATCTAAATTATTTTATTGTTCAATACACACTTGTTAAAAATGGTGTATCACCAAGGTGGAATAAAATAAATACATCTTAAAGCAATCTTAATAAACTCAAGATATTCATTTTACCTTTTATTGATACTGTATTTTCAAATATATTTTCAGTCTCTCAGCAGTAGTCTCATCTTACAATGTATTCCTATAAAGAGGGTTTTCTTAACCTTGACTTATGGACATATTGGACCAGATAATTCTTTACCGTGAGAGCTGGTCTGTTCAGGTAGAATGTTTAGCAACCTTCCCAGCCTCTACCTACTAGGCACCAATGGCAGATCCCCAAGTTATGACAACTGAAAATGTCTTCAGACATTGCTAAGTGCCATCTTGGGGACAAAGTCTGTCCTGATTGGAACCAATAGAGAGGGGTGGGCAGAAGTTCCATCCAGCTCAGTTTCACCCAGAACGTGAATCATCCCTTTATCCGGTGTGTGCACGCTGTATCTGCTACCCCTGAGACATCAGCCTGGCAGTCTCAGTGTAGTAGGACTTGTGTTTAAGTAATTCTTATTTTACTTAATAATGGCTTCAAAGCACAAGAGTAGTGATGCTGATAATTTGGATAAGAAAAAATCTGTAAAATGCTTCCTTTAAGAGAAAAGGTATGTGTGTTTAGAAAAAAACACAGTAGATATAAAGTTCTGTACTATCTGTGATTTCAGGCATCTACTGAGGAGCCTAATGTGTGCATTTAATTAGATATATTTAAATGTGTATTTAAATTAAATTCTTTTTAAAAGAAATTTATTACAGATTCAAAACTCATCATTCTTGAACTTTCTTTTGAGAAAAGCCAAATCAAAAGTCCTATAAAATACATAATGTAATACAAGTAGATTTTTATAAATATATACTATTAAGTTAATTAACTACGTCATTGATAAAAGCTGTTCAATTATTGGACGTGTCGTACAAATCTATAGGAGGTGTGTTCATCCTGGCTTGTAATCTTCATTAATAACACCTACAAACAGTCCTATTTCCACACATTTGGTTGCAGTTGCAAACTAATTTTAATTTTTTTTTTTTTTTTTATCCTCACCCGAGGACATTTTTCCATTTTTTGTACAGATAGAGTGCGAGGGAGAGAGAGAGAGAAACATCGATGTGAAAGGGACACATCGAGTGGCTGCCACCCACACGACCAACCAGGGCCGGGGACAAACTGCAACCGAAGTACGTGCCCTTAGCGGGAACCGAACCCGGGTCTCTCCGGACCGCAGGCCGACGCTCCAACCGCTGAGCCAAACTGGCCAGGGCTGCAAACTAATTTTAAACATCATACTGTATGTGCTCCCATTGCACATGTCCGGTATACTAATTTTATCGTGTGACACCGCAGAAAATTAGCAACACCCTGGTTGGTCTTTAGCCTGTTTAATAAAATGAATCCACTTGTTGTTTCCTAGAACCCCTTGTATCCAATGACCACTTTCTCTTTACAATGTCAATCACTCTCTCCCAGATACTAATCCGTATCATAATAAGAAATGGTACCAATCTGAAATCATAAATTTAAGGATTAAGCATTTTCATTAGTTATTCTAGGTTATAGCTCACTTGTACAAATTATCCTATTCGACAATATTTTAACTTTATCAAGACCACTGTTAGTTGTCTCAGTTTTTCATCATCAATTAGAACTCTTTTTTCTTTGTCCAGTTCAGATTTAATAATCTGTCAATATAAACAATACCTCTCAAAAAACTTCAGCTCCCTTTCTTGTCTATTACTCAAAAGTATTCATCTGAAAAATACTCGGACTGGGTAACTTTAACCATGTACTTGATTATTTATTGAGGATATGGAACCCATTAAAAATAACTGCTTTATGTTACCAATCTATCAGCTATCTCTGCCATTTTCTTTCTTGTCTTCTTTTTTACAAATTTCCTTCTTTCCTAAGGCCATTCATTTCAAGTGTCCTCTTGATTCCCGTGTTTCTTGTTTTTTCAAGTCTTACTCTTTTGCATCACTGTTGCACTGCACTTCTGCCTCTGCTGGACCATTTAATGAATAAACATGTGAGAATGCAGTTTATCTTAAATTTTTTTTCTTTTAACTCTTGCAACATTTTAAATAATTGTGCATTGTTTACTTTATGATACTCTGTGTTGTTTTGGCATCCACACAAAACATTTCTATCTGTATCTTTTTGTTGGTTGTTCTTTCTCTACCTTACTTATAAATCATGAAGCCTTGAATCCATGAATCTTGAATTTAATATACCTTACAGTAGAAAATCTCTTCTTTCTGTTTTAATGTGTCATTATTTATAATCTTATTACTACCTGACTTTAAAATTTTCTTCTTCCCTTATAAATCATAAATTCCAAAGAGAAGACATTTCCAGTATTAAATATTTGTGTAGAGTACACTGTTTAGAATACAGTGAGTGCTCATTAAATGTTTATTAATCAATTAAGTAAGTTATAGTTATAAATAAATAAGTAGACATATATATATTACTAGTCATAAGCCACAATCAAGTATTAATCTTATCTAGGGAAGTTTAATAGATAGGGAGAAATTAAGAAATTATTTTGGTTTTCATTTTTCTTGAGTCCTGATTGATTCATGACCATTTTATTTTTATTTTATATATTAGGAAATTAAAACTAAATTAGAAAAAATTTCACATCAAAATGTTAGCTGTCTTTACTACAAAACTAATCAACAAGCTAAGTTCACAAATGGGATTCAACATTTCAATGAAAATTAAAGAAAATAGATAGTACAGATATCTAGGATTCCCATTATTATTTGTAAAGAAACAATCATTTCCCCATTATGTTATCTTGGATCCCTTGTCAGTGATCAGTAGTCTGTATAAACATGAGTTTATTTCTAGCTTTATTCTGTTCCATTGGGCTATATGTTTGTCTTTATGCCAGTAACATACTGTTTAAATTACTACAGCATTGTAATATATTTTGAAATCAGTAAATATAATGTCTCCAACTTTGTTGTATTTTTTCAAGCTTGCTTTGGTTATTGTGTTCTCTCTCTTTCCTTCCCTCCCTCCCTCCCTCCCTCCCTCCCTCCCTCCCTCCCTCCCTCCCTCCCTCCCTCCTTTCTCCTCCCTTCCTTCCTTCCTTCCTTCCTTCCTTCCTTCCTTCCTTCCTTCCTTCCTTCCTTCCTTCCTTCCTTCCTTCCTTTTATCCCTCTTCTTCTACCATATAAACTTCGGGATTGTTTTATCTATTTCTGTAAAAAAAAAAAAAAAAAAAAAAAAAAAAGTCATTGAATCTCCTCAGGACCTCAGGTTGTCCTCACAGTGGCCACTTTTTTCTTGAGGGATGCAACAGTCTTAGGGGGGAAATCTCATTGGAATTTTGATGGAAATAGCATTATATCTGTAGATCCTTTTGTGCAGTACAGACATTTTAATAATATTAAGTCTTTTGATTCACAAACATGGCATATGTTTTTATTTATTGTGTCTTGTTCAATTTTTTCATCAATGTATTATAATTTTCAGTTTTCAAGTATTTTGGCACCTTGGTTCAATTTATTCCAAAGTATTTTATTCTTTTTGATGTTTTGTAAATTGGATTGTTTTCTTAATTTTTTTTTTTTCATTTAGTTGTTAGTGCATAGAAAGACACCAATTTTTGTGTGTTGATTTTGTATTACAAAATTTATTGAATTTGTCTATTAGTTCCAATACACATATATAATTATATTATTTATATGATTTATATTATCATATAATTATATGAATTATATGAATATATATATGTATATATAATTTCACCTGTAAACAGAAAGAGTTTTACTTCTTTCTTTATTCTGATTTGGATGCCTTTTATTTTTTTCCTTGCCTAATGGTTCTGGCTAGGATTTGTAGTACTTTTATGAAGATAAGTAGCAACAATGGTCATTCTTGATTTGTTCCCTATCTTAGAGAAAAAGCTTTCATTCTTTCACTGTTGAGTATAATACTAGCTGTGGGTTTATCGTATATGGCGTTTATTATGTAGAGGTACATCCCTTTTAAAAATAATTTGTTGAGTATTTTTATTATGAAGAGTATTGAATTTTGTTCATGTTTTTTATACATCTGTTGAGATGATCATATAATTTTTTTTTTAATCCTCACTCAAGAACATTTTGTATTCATCTTCAGATAGTGCGGGAGGGAGAGAGGGAGGAAGAGAGAGAGAAACATTGATGTGAGAGAGACACATCAACTAGTTGCCACCCATGCGACTCCAACTGGGGCCAGGAACAAACTGCAACCGAGGTACGAGCCCTTAGTGGGAACCGAACCCGGGTCTCTCTGGTCTACAGAACAATGCTTAACTGCTGAGCCAAATTGGCCAGGGATGATCATATAATTTTTATCCTTTATTCTGTTAATATAGAGTATTGCATTTGTTAATTTGTATATATTGAATCATCCTTGCATCCCGGGAATAAATCCCATTTGGTAAGTTGATCCCTTATCCTCCACCATACATGAATCTAAAATGGATTAAACTTAAATATAAGACCTAAGTTGTAAAATTAGTGGAAACCACAGGGGAAAGCTTTATGATACTGTTCTTGGCAACAATTTCATAGATAAAACATAGATAGCTCCTACTTTTGATCATTCTTTTCTTGATAATATGTATATTTTCTTTAAGGTGACTAAAATATCATAGTAAAATAACTTGGGTTTTAAACTGTATCTCAATAGCACATTCAAGGAGGTAACCTTGAATGCTGTTGCATTATTTAGTGAATATAATATGCTCGAATCAAAGCACAAGAGGACAGTGCGCTCTGTCTACTTTCATTCTCAAACAAACACTTGATTCATAGAAATGAAGTGAGATGATAGTCTACTTCTACTTTCCTAAAGCAGAAGGGATCTGAAGGGAGATAAAATTGGCTCCAAATCCTATATTCATTACAGACGTGTGAGAATGTGTGTGTGTATGTGTGTGTGTGTGTGTTTATGTAACAGAACAGAGTTGCTCATACACTTACAAATTGTCAGTTACAGTTCATTGTAGATTAATCAAATAAAGAAAATATATTCATTTCACTTAATATTCAATCTCTTTGAAATCTGGAATTACATGGGCTTTATCTTGACCCACAATTGTCCTTGAGTATTAGAAACCCGGATCAGAACAGAATAACACAGCCCTTCTTTGAGGACAGAGTCAGAAGCCTAATAGAAACTGAGCCTAATAGGAACTGAGTGATAAATTCTCAGCATCCTGTAGCCAAAAAGTTCTTTCAAGAACCTCATAGTACCCCCTCCAAAGCCAGGGGAAATATTTTTATCTCAGCAAGTTATAATTGATGCTATTCATCTCATAACCAAATAAAAAGGAAGAAAAACTAGGATGGAGTATCTCTTATACCGAACAAATCTGAGTAACACATGGCTAGATGTATTGTTGTATCTTTCCATGTGTAATTAGTTCTAATCATAAAACTCACCATTTCATTTGGTATTATGAGTCATTTTTGTAGGGGAATGGCGTTGCTGTGCCACCCTATTGAAGTTTCATGTCTTCACATAGACCATCCAGCCAAGGCTTAATCAAAGCTGACATGAGCCTTGGCAGGACACCCACCGGTGCTCCCAGGACATGGGAACAGAGGAGGTTAGGGCGCAGCAGCTGCAAGGGCATTGCTGGCTCCCTTCCCTCTCTTCCCAGACAGCTGACAGGACAGTTTCTTATCACCTCCATTGTTCTGATGAGGTAGGAGACTTTCTGCCTCGCCCACCTTCTGACACAGCTGCAGGCTATAAAACTGCTTAGCTGCAGAGCCCAATCAATGCCTCAGCTGATAGGGGTCCAACTGGGCGTGTCCCCTTGTCATGTCATCCGGGCCCTTCTGTTTCAGTGCCATCCTGGGAGAAGGGGTATGAGGTAAACCCTGCCTCATCTGGTTTACCTGTCTGTGCAAGTAGCAGACTGGACCAACAAGGAATCACTGTTTCTTTACCCGTCAACTGCCAGCCTAATATGACCACTCTGTTGTTACTTTAACAGACTGGTCTTCCTCCTACGACTACTTTTTATATTTGTTAGAAGTAATAGATAACTCACACGCCCCCCAATATTTTAAAAATTCTTTTAAAATTTGCCTCCTTAGCTACGACATTATTTTTTTCTTTCTGATTATTACAAAATACAGGATCACTAGTCTCATAAATCTGTCAAAATACTAAGTGTAAATGATTTTGGCTACCATGGGATATTAAATCATGCAAAACTTAATAGTGTCAGAATTAAATGCTAATTATAGATAAACTGATAACATGGGCTCTCCATTCCAGCTTAGTAAACCTATCTCTTTACCACCATTTTCTGTAACCAGTTCAAATGGATTCTCTAGAAGTTTACTTTTTAAAACACACACACACGTGTGTGTGTGTGTATACATATATACATATACATATATATATATATACATATATATATAGTTGTTGTTGTTGTTGTTGATTTCAGAGAGAGAAAGGGAGAAGGAGAGAAAGACAGAAACACCAATGACAGGCTGCCTCCTGCATGTCCCCCACTGGGGTTGAGCCCGCAACCCGGGCGTGTGCCCTGACCTGGAATGGAACTGGGGACCTCCTGGTGTATAGGCTGATGCTCAACCCCTGAGCCACACCGGTTGGGCTAGAAGTTTACTTTTATTTGTGGGTCTCATAAACTGCAAAAAAGCATATAACTAAAAAGATGCTCAAACATGGTCTTTCTAATATTCCACTGACATAAAAATAGTTGAAGTGCAAAATTATATGCTGGCAATATCACTACAGTAGCACTTAAAATCCTGCAATTAAACATGTCATGCAGTAAGATTGTATTAGATATGTCCTATGATGTCCTGAATTGCACAGATTATAATTACAGATACCAAGAGTTCTTTGAAATTCAAACTTCACATGCTTTTATTTGTAAAATTCGAGAAGCAATAAGAAATGCTCTCAATATTAATTTTATTCAAAGCAAGCAAAGTGGAGAACTTACATTGTTGGTCTCTTGACATTCATTATGCTGATAACTAGGAACATTCTCTGCACCAAGCAGGTATGAAGAGACAAAACAGGCTAAGCCTTTCAGAAGGAGGAGCTGGTTCTAAGAGCATTTAAAGTATGAGGGAGCATGCATTGGAAGATAAGGTGATTCAAATACTAGAAGCTGCAGGAAGTCACTATCAACTTTAACACTAAATGAAAACAACAAATGATGTCAACAGCACGTAACTGCACTGGTTATGGCTGCTACTGTTTAATCCATGCTTGAACTGCTGATGTTTTGGGGACCTATATCCTCCAGAAGCTATTATCAGTCACCATTTACTACCTTGAAAAGAATCACTGAGGCCTCTGGAAACTTAGCCACCTGTTTTTGCCAGTGATTCTTAAGCGATAAGGAGATGAAAAACAGTGCTTGGATCCCATCTCCTGCCGACTAATCTCTTACTGGTGCCATCTATTAATCAAACAAAACTGAAAGCCAGTTGGCAACTGAGCCTTATACTATAGTTTTGATGGTTCCAGGCCTTGCAATGCAGGACAGGAATGGACTTGAGAAACAATAGGTATAAAGGATTGGCATATGCTAAGGTTTTCTCTGAGGTGATGTGGCCCTCAGGTACAGCCCCGGTACTCTAACTAGGTCCATTAACTCCTGCCCGCAGTGATTGGTGCAGAGATGAGCATACACACTAAGAACGTTTAATTATAGTACATTTCAGAACTTTTCCAGAGGTATAAAAACATGCTTCACCTTTGCACCTTTCTCTTATTTGAACCTAAAAGTATGTGAGGTAAGAGCTGCTGTAGCAATATTTTTCCACGCACAGCCTGCTAAAGATGCCTGAACAACGCGGCCGGTGTGGCTCAGTGGACTGAGCATCGTCCCATGGACTGAGAGGTCCTGGTTCCATTCCAGGTCAGGGCACATGCCTGGGTTGCAGGCTCGAACCCCAATAGGGGGAGTGCAGGAGGCAGCAGATTGATGTTTCTCTCTCTCTAAAAAATCAATAAAAACATATTAATAAAAATAAAGAGAGATGCCGAAACAGAAAACCCAGCCAAAAGACTGCGAAAAATAAATTCATAATGAATTAGTTTGACTTTTGAAAATAATGTTTGAATCTGGATTGTCCAAATACATGAAAATGATTTTTAAAATATTGATTGATCTTTTTTCTTAAGACAGTTTATTTTTTATTTTTTATTATTGTACCCAATGATTTCTAGGAGACACTCCTGAAGTAGATGTTTTTAGAGGCCCAATAACTTGAGGATTATGAATAAATATTGTGGATAGTGACGACCTTTATGTACAG